ATTTTATGGCTAATCAATTTCTAACCAAGGATCATTACTCTATTTATTGCTGTTGCAAAGTTTCAAGTCCAAGTGCTACTTTTCTTTTCCTTTGTTATAAGTACAAACCAGTAGAGCTACAGTCTCGTCAGAGACTTCTGGTTGAAATTCTTGGGCAGCATTGCTTCGTCTATAAGTTCATTTTGTTTTGTACATCTATGGATCCTTTACAGTTTTGTATAATACTCAGGTGACCGTTAAGGCCCTTGGGCCTCTTGTTAGCTCTTCTGAGCCAAAGGCTTAAAGAGCTAATGCGATGACCATTTGTTCAGTATTTATGGCACTATTTGCTGTGTGTTAACTTTTTGAAATATGGGCCATATTGCAAGAACCCTTGGCCAATTGACCCAAGGGCTTTAATTTGTACTAAGAATAGGGATGTGACCCTTAAACAAGGGAAGATAATTGGGGAAATAAAAAAATTAGTTGTTGCCAAAAAGTCTTCTTCTCAAAAACCTCTGGGATGATTATCACCAAACTTATGCATATAACTATGTATTATACCTACAGTGTAGATGAAAAATTGTTCATGGGATCACCCTGGGGTAAAGGGTGTGGTCTGAAGGTCAGTTTAGAGTTGACTTCAAATTATGTTTTGTTCAAACTTTGACATTTTGCCCACTATAAGGACAAGGATCATTGAACCTTGTCAGTTGATACATCTTAAGACCTCATGTCATGTTGACTCGAAAGAAGGTCACAGTGACCTACTTTTTGAATTTTGCAGGTATTCATTTTCAATTGAATTTTGGATGCTTTGAAGCCCATGATCATCAAAACTTGTCAGTTTATGCATCATGGGGCCATAAACTATGTTGACAAAAGTAGGTCACAATCACTTTCTTTCTGAACTTGATGGCTAAACATTTTCAAAACATTAAAGATCAATTGTTTTAATTACCGAGAGGCTTTGAATCATCAAGCCTTGTAAGTTGATGCATTGCGAGATTTCAACATCCATCTGATGCTCTTAATCCATTCTGACAAAGTGTCAAGGTCTTCTTTTTTGTGTTTGGCCCATCGGCTGGCATAATCTTCCACAGAATTCATAATATTTATAAAATTATGATGCCAGTTGAAAGAATGGGGTTCCCTGAATTTGAGCCCATTAAAAATAAGGGATTTAAGGTCCTCATTATTAACTATGTTTACATCAGCAGTAATGATGTGTCCAGCAGGACTATAGTTGTAGGATGAAAAACAAGAACGTGGTAGGATCAGAATCTCCAAGAGGCTTAGAATCATCAAACTTTGTCAGTTAATGCACCTTTTTTTCTTCAAGTATGTTTACAAAAAAGTAGGTCAAGATGACCTAATTTTAGAATTTTACAGCTATATCTAAATTTACTGGATAATAAGAGGCTTAGAATTATCAAATTTTCTCAGTTGATGCATCTTGGGTTCTCAGGGTATGTTAATCTAAAGTTAGGTCATGGTGATCTACCTTTGCAATTTTTATCGCTGTATCTAACTATTTCGAATAAGAAGAGGGTTACAATCATTTAACTTTTTCAGTTGATCCAACTGAAAAACAAAAACTTTTTCAGTTGAGGCAAATTGTAAATAGATTGTAAATTGTTCAGATCATAGTCCCCGGGGTAGGGCGGGGCAACAATAGGGGATCAAAGTTTTACAAAGGATTATATAGGGAAAAATCTTTAAAAACTCCTCTTCCCAAGAACAGCCTTGATGAATCATATTAATGTGGGAGCATCCTCAGTAAGCGTAGATTCGAGTTTGTTCAAATTATGACCTCTGTGGTAGGACTGGGCCTCAATAGATGATCATAATATTTAAAGGAAGTTAATAGGAAAAGATTTTAAACCCCTTTTTAACTCACCTGAGCTTAAGCGAGCTTTTCTAATCAAAATTGTCCGTTGTTGTCATCGTTTACTTTTTTCACAAATTCATCTTCTTCTCCAGAATCACTGGGCCAATATCAAACAAACTTCATACAGATAATCCCTGGATGAGAGGGATTAAAGTTTCTTCAAGTAAAGGGCTACACCGTTTTCTAAAGGGAGATAATACAAAATTAATGAAATTTAATGGCATGTTTTAAAAATCTTTTTCTCAAGAACCATTGTGCCAGAAAATATGAAAGTTATGTGAAAGCTTCATTACATAATGGAGATTCATATTTGTTTAAATCTTGACACCCCCAACCCCCCAAGCTAGGGTGGGGCCACAACAGGGGATCAAAGCTATACATAGGAATATTAAAACTTTCTCCAGAACAACAAAGCCATGATTAGTCAAATTAGTGTACAGAAGCATCCTCAGGTTGTGTAGATATAAGTTTGTTCAAATCATGACCCCTGGGGGTAGGTGGGGCCACAACAGGGTTACCCGGTATCAATTCGTATATAGGATACATCTTTAAAATCTTCTCACGTACAGCAAAACCATGATTAGTCATATTAGTGCAGAAGCATCCTCAGGTAATGTAGATTCATGTTTGTTCAAATCATTACCCCTTGGGGTAGGATTGGGCCACAACAGGGGATCAAAATTTTATGAATATCTTTAAAAATATTTTTCTTAAGAACAGCAAAGCCATGATTAGTCATATTGGTATGGATGCATCCTTTGGTAATGTAAATTCAAATTTTCTCAAATCATGACCCCCAGGAGTAAGCTGGGGCCACAATAGAAGATCAAACTTTTACATAGAAATATCTTTAAAAGTCCTCTAAATCCATGATAAGTCCAAGAAATATAGAAGCATCCTCAGTTAGTGTATATTCGAGGTTGTTCAAATCATGACCCCCATGTGTATTTGGTGGGGCCACAAAAAAAGATCAAAATTTTACATATGAATGCATGTATATTTGGGAAAAAAATCTTATACAGAACAGCAGGACCAAATTAAAGGGTGTTCTGAGAAACACAAGAATAAAAATTATAATATATACCAAGTAAGTATTGAAATTGAAGAAGGATTCTTTACTGAAAGTTATCTGAATACAATACTTGTATATCAATGCAGCAAACTTGTTCGACTGTCACTGTTTCATTTCGCATATTCTTGAATCAAAACGTTTGTAGATCCAACGTTTGACACCACTGTACATAATTATTTAGGTACATTATAATTGATAGATTCAAATTTAGTTTCAAACTGCTAATGTGTATATTCATTCGTACATTCAATTTTTTATGGACGAATTTCCATTGTATTTGTAAGAAGCAAAATGAAGGATCTACAATATTGATGGGGAGTTAATATACCCCCTCCCCCCTTGTTGGAAATAATGAAATAACTATATATTCCATTTACATCATAGGAGTGTTAATGTACTTGCATGGCAGGGCATGAATGAACTAATACTTTAAGGATTCATTAGACTGTCATATATCTGCAGAAGTAATCGGTATTTCATCAAGCTCTAATTGTCTTCATTGCAAAGAAGAAGGGGAGGGGGGGGGGTCTATAAATTTCAGAGTTTGCCTTTACATTTACATTTAAAAGAGTTTTGAAGTTTTGAGAGTGCAAAAACTATGATGTAAATAAAATTTAGAAAGCAAAAGATAATTTCCAGCTTGGAATTGTGGATTTTAAGCAGAGTTTTTGTCCAAAGTCTGAAAGACGCTGAGAAGGACGTAATTTAGTGAGAAGGGAGAGGGGTTATTTTCTACTACAAATTTAAATAAATTCAAATAAATGTGTCATTTAAAAAATTACCAAAAATTATCAAGATTGGTTAGGCAGAAAGCTGCATGAAGAAATTTTTTTTTTCAAAATTATAGGTTTTTTTCATAAAAGAACATAACATAAAAATTAAAAAAGAAAAAAAAAAACCATACATTTTTGAAGACTAAGTTTTGTCAGTTTAAGTTCTTCGATACTTTTTTTGTATACCACTACAAAATTATTTTATTTGTGTCTCTAGTGGTCAAATCAGTGAGTCAACAAATTTAACAAATACAATAAATTCTTTTGAAAATCATGGATTTTATGGTTGGTTGAATTTTTTTTTCTTCTCATGAATAGCTAAAGGGAGGTAAATTTTGTAGCTTCTTGTCCATTACGACTTGAATAACTTTGTCCAAAATGTACATACAAGGAGTGATCAAAAAGTTTGCGAACTAATTGAATAGCAAATGGCCAAACCTCGGCAATAGGATGGGTGGATAAGGATATCCTATCCCAGAATGAACATGGTGACCATCACCACCCAACTCCTCTGTCTTGCCGAGGTGCTTCGTTTATTCATTGTAGATCACGTATGGGCGCATTCTCTTTATCATAACTGCTATGTTTAAAGTCTAAAGTAAATGACCTTTTAGGGATTTAATAATTATTTAAGATATTTAACGATTTATCTAGCTGTAACTTCGTGATCTTTCATAACAAATTGCTCAGATAAGGACAAGTGTCTTTCACTAGGTACCAAAATGAACATTATTTTTAACCATCTCCCTTGCTTCACTAAACGATCAAACCAATTAATGATTGAACTTTTGACAAGTCCTTTGTCTCTATAAACCTTGTACAAATTATTATGTGGTACTGCAAAGGAATTTCCATGATATATGTTAAACTTTACAGCCGCTCCATGCATGAGTACCTTTTTTTCACAAGCCATCTACTTAATGACATCATTTTCACATTGTGACATCACAGGCAGGGACCAAAACATTATTACATCTGCTATTTATAGAACATGTTTATGACTTCATGTGTGCCAAATTTCATTCTGATCTGAATTGTGGTTTTGTAAATATAGAGATAGTTCGCAAACTATTTGATCACCCCTCGTACATAGTATATATAGTCATGTATAACATATAGAAAAAGACAAAAATTAAATGACAGGAATTTTGGAAGGTAGGAGTGTTGTACATCCTTAATTGGAGGATATAGATTTCCTGAACTAGCTTGTTTTGTTTTCTTGTAGATGTTGAAGTGTGAAATTTATGCTCTAAATTGTCAACTGAATATTATTTATGTTATGCAGAAATCGTTGGAAGGAAATAAATGACCTTGAAATTAAGAAAGACAAAATCATGCAGAAGAAAATATTGAATGACACCATCAAAGCTGAGGATGAAGAAGAAGTTCAGGATGATGATTTAGAGGATTTTTTGGACTGGAGAACCAAAACTCTTAAATGATTGGGGGCTACCATTTGAAATAAAATGACTGCAGATCAAAGTTTACTGAAAGATAGAAAATTAAGTATATAAAAGATTTTCAGGTTTGAAATTCCATTTGCGTTAGGAGAAACAAATTTTTAAGAATTTCAGGCAAAGAAAGTGTCTCTCTTAATTAAGATTGTTATATTTTGTTTCTCAAGAAATTTGACTAAAAAATTGTTGTTTTTCATATCAAAAACATGTGAGAGACATTTTCAAATATAGAAATTAACTTTAAGGCATCTGAAGTTGCATTATATGCAAGGAAATATGAATTCTTGGTTGATATTTCATATTTAAAATATATTTTATATACTAGATACTTGATCTACTGTCTTCATCAAAAATCTTTTTTGTATAAAATGCTCGAGATTTTGTTGAAAAGTGTATGAATGGTGATGATATTGATATTTTGTTCTCATGAGCTAAAGTCAGTAAAAGAGATTTTTAATTGATATTTTTAATTAATATTTAATTGACTTTGAATCAGATTTTTGTGTTATTTGCAGGAGCCAAGGTGACACTGCTACATCTTTCATAAAATTAAGACATGTAAACTTTTAACCTCCTTCCCCACATGATCAGTTTGAACCAAACCTGACATAAAGCTTCCTTGGGTAAAGAGGATTTAAGATTGTTCAAATGATGTTTAAGGCGGCCTAAGACCTCTTTCAAGGGGAGGAAATTAGAAGGAGTAAAAATTTCGTTGGGTAATTTTAAAAATCTTAAGAAACAGTGGGCCAGAAAAGATGAAACTCATATGAATGATCCTATACATAGTGTATATTTTATTGTAACCTCTGTATCATATCACTTACATTCAAATATTTGTTTTTTAACAGGGAAGACAACAGGTTTTTTATGAACTACTGCATTGCTCTAAGAGACTTTCCAAATCAGGGGCTAAAAAGGGGTCTTAGCGTATCTAGTCCTTAATCAAACGAAATTATTTGTAAATTATATGAATATGCAATACGTTGAAATCTTTGCCTCACGAAGATAGATCATGTTGAATGAAATATGGAGATAACGAACAGTATTCAAGCTCAAAGTACATTAAAACAATACAGATCGGGTGCAGAGCAAACACGGACCTCAGAATTTAGAGATGGGATCAGGTGCCATGGAGGAGTGAGCATCCCCTGCCGACCGGACACACCCGTCGCGTGCTCATTGTCATTATCGGTAAATAACGGAAAATTCTGTCAACAATTCAGTGTGTAAATAATGGCCTAACAATTAGTATGAAAAACGTCAGTCAGCATATGACTAAATGATAGATTGTATTTGATGACAAAGTCATTGTATCTTCCATAGAACTTACGAAATGATGACTTGAAACGAGACTGTTGATATTCTTGTTTCATCAACTTGTATGTCAATAACTTGCCTCATTTTAGAAATTGTTCATACGTAGAGCATGCTCTTGTGTATCGAATCAACTGAGAGATATACACCCCACATGCAGGTGATAAGGGTATATTGCTGCATAAGTAAGGGAAGTTGACAATTGAAAAGTTGAAGTAATCACGTTTATCATAAAGGTTGGTTGTTAGATTACCATTAATGTCTTTTTCTAGTAAAATATCCAAATATGTATCAGACTCTGTGGGATCTTCTATTTCAAGCTCACTGGGATATATCCTGTCGACATATGAATGGAAATAACTTTTGTTAATTGATAATACTTCGTCGATATATCTAAATGTTGAGTTGAAGGCAAGAGATTTCTTTTTCTCGGGCCAAAATAAAAAATACCTTTGTTTCCCCTAACGCGACCGACCCACTTAAATCGTGCCGACTGAAAAGTTTTTTTGATAAGATTATTCAATTTTTTTTATTGTTTGTCATATTTATAAAATAAAATTTCATCAAAATCCGTTTTTTATCAGAACGGCGGCTTTTGTTTTACTCTCATTTTGTGCCGACAACATGTGGCCTCAGAGGGTTAGTTCGTGTTATAAAACACAATGGTGACGTATCAATCTTATTATATCTTTAACTTATTAGAATCCTACACTCTTGAGACATCTCGTGAATTAATGTGCCATGACTAAGGAGTGTTAATATGGTATTTAAAAATGTGTCTTCTAAAATTAACGTACGTAGTAAGCATAGCAAAGCCTACCTCATGAGTAGATGAGGGGCGCTCCTTGTGAATACACATCAATAAATTTCACTGCATTTGATTCGTTTCGATCAAATAAACAGTTCATGTATGATGCTATTTTTACTAAATAGGACCATAGGAGTTGTAAATATGTCTTTGTATGATTATTTCATTTGATAAATATAATGTCGTTTCTTTATTCCTTTTATTTATGGGGTATTGACTCCGTGATTATAACATTAGATATATGAAACTTTAATCATTTTAGATATGGTTTGGTAAATTATATATTGTTTATACGTGTACACTATTTCCAAATAGTGTTGAAATCTTTAAAATTTGCTTATGGAACGGCTTCCCGAGACGCCCAGTTTATTTTTCTTTAGTTAGGCCCTTGAAAACAGGTTGTTTCTTTGCTTTAAAATACCTTTAAAATTTGTTGGGCCGGTGGAGGGCTCCTAATTTAGACTTACTCGGCACTTATGGCCTTTGATCATTAAGCATCAGTAAAGGATCTTTTACGTGCCATCTACATGTATACTCCGACACTGGACCTTCGTTTTCTATGGTCTTGTTCGACTGACCGGTGTCGCATAATATTTGGTCCTCCTCGTTTAAAGGTCCGGGGGGACCTAATACGATAACATATAAGGTCCGGCCTGCCTCTATAATAAAAGGTCCGCCATCGGTTTAATATGCAGATTTTTCTCCTTTATTGATTCGAAATTAATTTGCTTTATTAATCTTTTAAATTATTTAAGGTATAGTTGTTATAAAAGTGTCCCTCCCAGCAAAATGGAGTTCCAGGGACCTACATGTATGTACATTGTATATATACTAAAAGGATCAAGTCTTGCGATATCTCGCTAGTTGCTGGATTTCGTTAGCCAATTTTAATTAATTATATTTCTAATACTATGATATATTTCAGTACAAAACCTCAAATTATCTATCAAAAAATTATTCAAAATTTGATTTTAGCACTGATTAACTGTTTGCTCCTTATCGTAGTACATACCTCCCAGGTAGTGCACAAAACAAAAAATATAAAGATGCAAAGATCTGTTATCGAGTTACCTTATGGGAAAATCATGTACGACATGTGTCTTTTATAGTTTAAGTGATATCAATATTATCATTGCAAAATAAAAAAAAAAAATACATATATATAATACGCATACCTTCACTGGCACATTGTTCAGTATATGGTGTTCGTAAGTCCAACAATGATCATTTCATTACAGTCTATTTCCTAACAACGTTCGACTTCCACTTCCCAAAAAGAATTTTCATATCTTTCGAAAGATATTTCATTATATCATTAATAATAATTATGCATAATTCTTACGATTCATATTGTACCTAACTATAAAATAATTGGAGGGTCACTTTGACCGGGACTTGTGTTACGGTGTACTAGCCTATCCCGTTGTTGTTAAAACAACATGTCTGTGCTTTGGGGGGTAGGCCTATTGTCTCACCTGACGAAACTTGAAGTCGCATATCCCCCGTGTTTTTATAACCATCGTTTCTTATCCAGTTAAAGACTAACGATTATTTCATTCTACTTGATATTACCCCGGGGTTAACACTGGTTAAGGAAGATGTGCATTAATTGGCAAAATCAAACCAAAGTCAATCGAGTTGAACATTTTAAGCAATAAAATACCCCCTCCCCCAAAAAAGGAAAAGATTATAAATGGTGTTGTTGTATTTTTGGTGGGTGGGGTATAGCAAAATTATGCTGATACATGTCAAATAGTTTAAAAAGTACTGATGTTGTAGACTTTCCTCCCGCATTAATATTTTTTCCCGGAAAAACGAGCTTGGGTTTAAAGACCCCTCCCCTTTTGGAAAATGAGCCTAGCATAGGATTTTATTTCCGGGATTTTTTTTTTAAATATTGTTTATTTCATTCCCTACATTTTGTAGTTTTCATTTCTGACGTTTTAAAATTTTCATCTCTGACATTTATCATCATAAAGTACTTTTCCGGCAATGAAAACAAAATTGAAATTTCCCTTATAAAAAAATTAAAGAATAAATCAAGAATAATTCATTGATTTCCAAATAATAAGTTCTGCTTATATTTAAAAGAATCTTATGACGATTTTATCCTCGGACACATGTAAGTGTAAGTTGTGAATTTTTGTTCATCTTTTCAAATCAAGATAATCAGACTGAATTTGAGATCAGAAAGGTTTAGGTAGAATTTATGACATACAGAAACTATGTTTGACGGAATAAAGTAATCAAAGTTGAGGAGATTCTGTTTTTCGGTGCTTTCAAACACATATAATTCATTGGGCATTAAAATTTGGTGATCAAAAATTGCATGTTTTATTATTGAAATTATTGCATTTTATTACTAAACTTTGTATTTTTACTAGACTTAGTGTTGATTGTATTGTAAAATGAAAACAAAAAATGTCGGAAGTGCAATGCACAATTTCGGAAATCACATGCAGCGAGCTTGGAAGAAACAACCCCGGCTTTATTATCCACCATAGGAAATACTCAGTACGCTTCAGTACAGAATTTTCTCCTTTTCCACCTTCTTACTAGGGAGAATCTTATCCACCCATACTATTTACAAACTGAAGGGGTTTTACAGAGCAACTTGACATGTATTTCCCCCTAAAATAAAAAGGAAAGTGTCTGTTGAGATCGTGACTGATATAAAAATTCACAAAACACCACCAAGTCGTGTTCTTTTGTTATTATTTTTTATATTTATTTTGATTTTGGTTTAAATTAGATTTTCTACGACTTTAAGCGGCTATTTCTTTTTTATTTATGTGTGTGTGATGGGGGGGGGGGGGTGTTATAGTTCATCAACATTACTAATTAAATAATAATATATATCCTTGGTCCCTTCAGACAGATGTTTATGGTTGCATATAGATATACAATACAGTAGACACATCTCCTGCAAACGTACATAGAGTGGATAATTAATTGACATTAAAGTTTTGTCTTTTTGTCAGCATATTAAATGAAAAAAAGTACACTACTACATGTAGTATATATGCAATTCTTATGCACAATTAGGCCATTCCAAGAGTTTTCTAAGTTAATTTAGCGTCCATCCTAAAATTAAAAACCTAATTATCTTTTTACCCTGGAAAAACACACAAACCAACAAAGAAAAAAAAAACAATAGGAACTTACAGCATTTCCATAATTTTTGCTTTGTAAGTGAGATACATGTATGTGGGAAAAAAGAAAAACAGAGGGCGGACCTTTTATTATACTGCGTTTTAAGGTCCGCCCTGCCATTCTAACGAGTTTTTTTTTACGATACGATAACTTTTAATAAACTCTGTTCAAAATATTCGCCTTGTA